CATACGCACATACATGTTGCTGAAATGAAATGTGAACAAAAAATAATGCAAGATAACCAAGACGATCACGGGTCAACAACCCGCTTCGATGCCCGTTACAATAGAGAAGTAAGGTCAAAGAAAAACGAAAAGTTTACCCCGCTACTAATATGTTAAAAGTAATATCGAAAATGGCGAATGTTTTATCAGTCGTGTTCAGATTTCAGCATTTATATTTAATTAAGAAACACCATTAATGGTCAACAAGTAAATTGCCTATGCACCACATGTAGGACAGGAATAGAACAGATTACTTTTTATTTTAATGAAAAAAATGAAATTAAAACATTTCTTTACAACAAATCGTTAATTAAAATGTAACAAGATATCTAGCATTAAACATGAATTATCATACAGCTAAACGCTAATCTCATCAGTTCTTGTCAGCTAAAAATTTATAAATGATATCGTATGACATAGAAGTATTGACTCATACAGTTTACTGTCAATGAATCGGTATCTATACAGATATGAATACTTAGTCTACATTTAAGATATATTAGATATAAGTATATATATATTTATGAATATGGAACAACAATAAGATAAAATATCTAAATAAAGAATATTTCTTTTTAAAGATCACTGACAATTTCCATTTATTTGAAGTCAGTTGGAGATGTGAAGTTTTCTTTCATCCTTTCTTTTAGTCTTCTATAAGAAGTCAACTCCCTCATCAAGTCAAGCATTTCTTTCTGATTTGCAAGAATTGGAGAGAAGACGTTTTCTTTGCATTGATCTCCGGAATATTCAGGTTCACATAAACCAGAACAGGATCCAGTTACGTGATGGCAAGATCTGTGATTTTTACAGTAACCACATTGTTCTTGACATTCTGAGCCATACCAGCCGTTAATGCACTCTACATAAAGGAAGATGGAATATATACAGTATATACAAAATGACAAGTATATGTTGCAAAAATTAGGTTTTATGGATATCAATGATATAAATTTCAAATTATTTGCCAATGGGAAACCTGGAAGCTTAAAGGCATTACGTTTACGTTTTTCATAAATCGTACATTTAACGATATATACTTAAAGGATAAAGAAACTCGGGGTAAACGTTTGCGGTGAGTTAAATTTTATTTTTCTTTTTATTCAGTTTAGTATTCCTTTCTAACTTTTAAAATCATCTTTAAAGAAAATGTCACTAGAATCCTAATTGATCTTGTTTTAGAATTTATGAGTTATTGAAACTTATATGACCAAAAGCTCCTAAAAGTGAAAAATCAAACACACTCATTATCTTCAATGTCTCTCCTGCGCATCTGTCACACCGTTTATTCTACTTTACGTGGATCGATCAAAGTTTTCATCTTTCAAACTCTAGCTATATAAGGCATGGGTACCCACGCGGAAACAAAATAGTCAAAAGACGCACGCATGCGCCGGTAAATGGATCACAAACGTAAAAGTTGCCTATTCAAAAACCGAAATGCACAATTGTTTTTTTTTCAGTTTTAAGATGAATGTAATGCTATGGTAGCCTTCTGTATCTATAGCAGTTTTGTGATAGTTATGTAGCGATTTGATAGATGGCAAGATAAATAAGCCTAGCGTAACATAACTTTGTTTTGCGTTTACGTCAGCGTCACGGTTGGCTGGAAATCATTCAAGGCCCCATCTGACACAAAGTAACAGGTTCCATGGTGGAAAATTTACAACAACCTACATAGAAATACTTTATTGCCTTTGTCTTTTCGTTGGCAAATCGAAAACAAGACCTATTGGAACTTCCGTTAACTGTACCAAGAATGCAAGAAATTCACATCGTCTGTAAATATTGAAAAACAGTGTGCATCAAATGGTACAGTTAGGTTGTTGAGAAACTCGTCGATATCAACCCTAAAAATACTATAATAAACTATTGTTAACTATAGTTTACTATAGTTAACTATAGTAAATCAAAGTGTCAAAGTTTTCGACAATTTTTTTTTAAAGTGCCAAAGTTTTCCTCAAAGTTTTTCAAAGTGTCAAAGCTTTCATCAAAGTTTTTTAAAGTGTCAAAGTTTTCGCCAATGTTTTTCAAAGTGGCAAAGACATCACTATAGTAAATCAAAGTTTTCAAAGTGTCAAAGTTATCACTATAGTGAACTATAGTAAACTATAGTTAACTATAGTAAACTATAGTTAACTTTAGTTAACTATAGTATTTTTTGTTAGGGAATCTACACATGTGTCTGGCCTTTTAGCGTTTTTTCCTACCTGACGTCATATATGTTACGGTTGAGTAGTTCTTCAAACTGATTTTGGTTTGTATTGACTACGTGAATAGTTTTCGTAATTTTCGATCATGTGTTCAAAAAATTCTAATATTATGCTATCCTGCTTTTTTCCCTACAGTATATATTAGAAAACATACCTGGAGTCTGACTATTTTTTTTTACATTTCAATAATTTTAAGCGAAAAAACGTTGTGTTCTATGTATTCATACAATCATTTCCTTGTCAACCCTTTTTACAACTGCCTAGGAAAATTTCGGCAACATAATGGCAATCACGTGATTCTTTACAGCAAGGACTTAACTCTCGCGTAAACTTATCACCAAAAATATCCAAACCTGCATACTACCAAAACAATCATAGAAAAAAAAATATATCAAAAAGTTTCCCTATTCAAGCATGTAGATGTAATTGTTTTAAACATTTCGTATAACAGTACATGTATATGATGTTGGGTATAATAAAGAGAAAAAAATGTTTCCCTTAAATAATTCAATGAAATATGAATCATAATTCATTTTCTTTCATCACATTTATTCCCATTTTATCTAGGTTCAGATGTACTCTGACATGAAAAATTGATATGATGACATTGTTTCCCGTTCAAGCACTGACCACAACTCTCTTTACATCCTTCTCCGTAGAAGTTATTCCAACACTCTGACGATTTTAAAATATCTATAAATGCTAATGGTGGAATATTTCACTTGTATTTTTAAAAGTAATAAAAAAAAAGTAATGCAATGAAATGATCAATGTTAACAAGAAAAAAATATGTGTTTTTACGTGTCATTTGATTTGATAAAAATTAATCTATATTGTATAACCTGGTTTGCCTACGTTACTTTGACTTACGTCAAATACGTATCTATCCACTTGAAACGTTAAAAAAAGTTTGCAGAATTGTATTTTCATTTCAACAGTGTGTCAAGTACCACAGAAAACATTCTTATTTGATTGAAATAGAACATCCCTATTCACGTCCTTGTTTTAAAACTAGATCCGTCGGACTGGATTGTGCAGTATGTGTTTACGAAGTGTTCGTACTGATACCGCTCCTAAATTATGATGTATTACTTTGAAGAGTAGATATTTAATAAAATAAAACATGTATGTCTGCATAATAATTACTGCACACACTTGTTAATATGGAATTGAAAAATGAATATAAGCGTTTGCTGATGAACACGTGAAAAAAAAATCAAAATACGTATTTTTCACTTTATCATGAAACAAGAAACCCATGGGTCACATCGCTCAACTGACCATATTTGGTAGAAAGAAAGCACAATTTAGTTTAGTATTGAAAACAGGGCGTGTATTCTAAAGTATCTAAGAATGATTCATTATCAATACTAATGGCTTTACCGTTTTTGAACAGAAGTTTATTTCCTACATATTCCTTTTTACAAAACTTAATCCCAATTTTTGCCACTCCTTACCACTTGAAACCATGATTTGAAAAAAAATCTGAACGTACACTACCTAACGATTCTTCCATATCAATTTAACTTAACATTGCTTTTTGTTCTATGGAAGAAGATTTTTCTTATTAAACAACTTTTAACAATTATTTTGCCCCGAAATACTCAAATACTAATAGAGGATTTTTCCATTTAAATATGACCAAATAAAATTGTAAATCTTTGATTTTTTGTTGTGTCCCTGCCCTACCCTAAGGGTCATGGTTTGAATAAACTTGATTTTACTCTACCTGATGATGATTCGTCATAACTTATTTCTTTCCTGGCCCAGTGGTTCTTGAAAAGAAGGTTTTTCATATATATTCCTATGTAGGACATTGATTTACCTATCGGGGCCCCGCCCTAACCCCGGAGGTCATTATTTGAACAAACCTTATTCTACAATAACTGGGAATGTTTCAACTCAAGTTATATCTTTTCTGGTCCATAAGTTCTTGAGAAATTTTTTCTTAAAGATGTCATTGATTTTCAAATAATTCACAATTATCTTCACTTAGAAGAGGATGTGACACCTCATTTGAACAAACTTGCATCCCCTTCACCCTTGCAGAAAACTTTGCTGCAATTTTTGTGGAAATTGTCCGAGCGTTTCTTGAAAAGGAGTCGAAAATGTGAAAAGTTTACGGACGGACAGACATAAATCTAGACAGTCAGATAGGCGGACAGACGGACGCCGGACAAAATTTGATCTGAAAAGCTCACTTAAGCTTTAGGCTCAGATGAGCTTAAAAACTTTTCTTCAGACTGGACCATTTCACTTGTATTTACAGTTTAACCCTCATAGTTTTTTTTTTCATTGTTTTAATTGATTTTTCCATGTATTTACTAAATCATGGTCTAATATTAATAAATAATCGTACAGCTTTGCCATTGCGGACTCTTTTTAGAGAAATTGAAGACTTGTCCAGGAAAACTTTGGACATTCCCTGTTCATCACTCGTATGGCAGTTGTTGAAATGTTTAAACCGCCAAAACTCAAGGTCCTTAGATATTCAGTGAAAAGAAAGATCTGAAAGTATTTTCTGTCTATGCTGGTTTCACCTTTTTGACAGAAATCTCCGTTCCAACCAGGATGACAACCATTCTCACATATTCCGTTTGTTCTATTACATCCTTTACATGCATGGATGCAATTTAAAGCACAATTTTCTCCAAAGTATCCATCACTGCATGCTGATTATTAAAAAAATTGAGAAAAATCATTAAAATGTAAATATAAATGGTCAGGTACAATTTTATAAGCTACCATTCACAATTTGTGTTTAACCATACTTTTATTGCAAAACTCTCTTTCATATCCCTCCGCACATCCATTCAAACAGGTTCCATTTATTGGATTGCATTCCTTATTCCATTTACAATGTCCACAAGTCAGGCTACAACTCTCACCATGGAATCCACTATCACACTCTAGAAAAGTTTAAGATAATGTTTTTATCCGCAGTTGTAACTGTAGAATCATTAATGTTCCCTTACCCACAAATTAACATTCCCACGATCGTTTAGTCTGATAACGTATTAATTCATTAAACCATTGTATTTATGAGTAAACTACGAAATATGTCCCTACAAACATGTCAAATTTTGCTTACCTACGAATATTGAGCCCCCTAAATTAAAATGATTCCGTGTTGATCCCTGTTATGTTAATGATTTATCGTAAAGGTAATGGTATTAAAAAAACACTTTTTTTCAAGAGACTTGTATAATGTTATAAATTTAGTACATATATGGCAAATGATCCTCTCTGCATTCTAAAAAAAAAAATGAAAATAAAGGGAGTGAGAAATTCTATATATTTAAATTTGCAAATATCTTTCCTGGAAGTACCTATTGTATTGAAGATTTGTTCAAGCCTGAAAGAATTTTATTTGGGAAGTCAGACGTCATAGCGCGATTAAATCATGAGTGAGGTGATATTTTTTCTACATATTTCTGTCATTGTGCATCCTGTTTTTGAATATTTCCAAGTTATAAAAAGATGAAAAAGATAAAACAGGCGATACCACCGCTTCTGACTTCAAATATTTTACAAATTTATGTAATAGTTAGATTATTCTCAACAGCGATCGTTGTTCTTTCACTATATAATTTCCTGAACCGGACTGCTTAACATGAATGTAAACATGAAAATTTTGGAATGAGATGACTTCAAGACTAAACAACTTCTAGGTATTTGCGCATCACAACATAGCAAAACGGCGGCCTGTTCGTGAAACAAATGCATATTTACACGGAATTTATTCGTCTCGAATATAAATATAAGTAATATAAAACAATGTTAAAAAGTTCACTGGAAAATGAACTTTTAGATCAGAGGATCAAATCGTTTGAGATAAGATCACATACCAACTTAAGGTTTTTTTAACATTGTTGTTTATTTCTTAATAATCCACACATCATTAAGAATGCATTGACAGTATTTAAATTAGGAGTACTTTTATTTCAGAGTTGTATTTCAGATAAGATAAGAAGACCAATAGGAAACACGCCTAGGATATTTTATTCCTTTAGTATCGAAAATTTCTTCCACCTTTACTTCTGCTTAATAAGAATTCTATGGATCTCGAACAAAGATGCACTCAGTTCTTTGTCAAGTAAGTGAGATCTTTAAATTTAGAAATTAGAAAAAAAAATGTTTTACAACAGAGAGCATGCAAGATTAAAGATACACGGATGTGTTTGTCCCGTTATGATTTTTCTCGTGGTTTCTTGAGATAATCTCGTTTGTTCTAAGCATTTTCTTCATGCCCCAGGAATTACGTAAAGTAAATGTTCCGAATAAACTTACTTCACTGACACTATTCAAATTAAAATAATATTCATTTGGAGGGAAGTCATCAATTTGTGTCCCTGTATTATGACATTGGGAACTGAAACGCGATAGCAGTTATGATATACCACTGTCAGAAAGTTTAAAATGCATTGAAATATACATTATATTTTGAGCTGGATTTCAATATGTAATGTGCACAAAAACAACATCAGCATAAGTGCAAACCAACATTAATGTAAGTAATTTGTTATAAAGATCATTTTTTTTCTCTGGTACATTTAAAGTGCTGGTAGGAAATCTGATTTTTACTTCTCAAGAAAAATATTTTACGAGGAATTCAATTGACCGACATGAGAAGCGGAATTTTCCTCTCTTTATCGCGATTTATACAAAAATGGATAAACTACATACAATTCCCCAACAAAATTTACTTACAGTGCATACTTATCTTGTAGATTCACACAGAATATCTTTAATTTATCCTTATTAACGAGGCCCGATCTAGTTGAAAATTACGAAAAGGGAATGATAAAAAAATGTAATTCTTGGAAATATATTTCTATGATTTATGCTTAGAAAAATTAGAATGAAATTTTGTTACCTTGCCTGTATTGTAGTCAAATGGGGGCACTGTCAAGATATGGACCATTTGTCGAATTTTTATATACAATTACATACTAAAACCTTTCAATAAACAAAGAAATTTACAAATAAAAAAAAAAAAACATGTTGAAATTCTTTGTTTTTCACATATATCATGCAATTTTCATTCTTCTTATAAAAAATGAAAAGAATATTGAAGGTAGCCTTTATTGCAGTGAAAAGGGGTCATGTCAAAACACAAAAATTGGATTTATTCTATCCAATTACGTATTTTATAGGTCGCAATGGGTTTCATAACACCAACAAACGATTGCAATACTGTATTAGTTTCTAAAAAATAAATGATTCTTTCATTATGAAATCATTTTCTCGCCATGCTTTATTTTTCTCTTAACACGCGACGTTGTTTTACGTGGAAAAACGGGGTAGAGGAAGGAGGGGGTAAAGTCTAAAGGCGACAAAATTACGATTTTTACTAATATCATGTAATATATAGAAAAATAAAAGATTTCGGTGGTTGCATTTAAATGATTTATAGACTTGTTTTATTTTTTTTAAAACTGAAGATAATCCATGCATATTTAAGTCGGCAATAAAAAGACTGTGTATAAACACTTCAACATGTTCAAAGAGAAAGACTAAAATCGTTTACTTTTGAATGCAGTGTTTGTTTTTTTAAACTCACGAATTGAAATAAAACAACACAAAATTAATGAATCTTTACCAAAAAGTTAATCCCTTAAAATTAATTATGTTCCAAAGTTGTTTTTTTTAATCTAAATATTTAAAATAAAATAAAAGAAAATGCCAGCTTTCAATGCACGGTCTAAAGCTACTAGGTAAGCAAGATCAGCGAAACATTTTAGAGCAATTTGACGTCATTTTAATTGCGACGTTATTGTGTTCAATTGTGACGGCAGTCAAGGGTATTGGGACGTGCCTGAGTCGACGTTGCGTTGAAACGTATGCGCAGATCAAGTAGATCGGGCCTCGTTAAGCACTTGTGTCAGTTAAATGTAAACATGATTTATAAACTCAAACATTGTTACGGATGTGTAAGAGGAGCGTTTGACATTTAATTTTTCCCTAATGTTTCAATATGTGCCTAAAGGACAAGTGAATGGAATAGGGATACTTGTATGTAAATTTCAAATATTCAACATTATGTCAGCACACTGGAACTTATCAAACAATTCCAACAGTTTAATTAAACAACAAAGCCAAAAAATCCTCATGCCGTGTGAAAGGAATGTAAACCTTTATTACACTTTCCCCGTCATATCAGCTCAAGTATGCATTGACCTCTATTTTCTATCATATCTAGGTAGTTCAGATAAGTTAATACAGTTTGAACTGATTGATATTTTACTGACAATCTTATACTAACCGCGATCGTGATCTTCTTCTTCTTGTTAATATAAAATTGTTTAGCATATATATATCAAAATAAATTGTCTTAGCACCAGCGCTTTTGCATATTCTTCATTTTAAAGATTGTGCAATTACTGATTTTAATGGACATTGTTCCTTTTGTTTTCAGGAATATCCTTCAGAACAAGCGCTAAATCACATTCCATATATTGGGTGGCAGTTGTTTTGACTCCAATAAAAAACAGATTTGTCAACATATCCCCAATACTCTAGAGGTGATTTAATCAGATGATAAAATATATTTTATAGCTAGGTACATGTATATTTTTTGGTCTGATATAAAAAAAGTATAAAATGGTAGAATATATATTACGGAATAATACATGTATAAACATATTTTTAATACAAAGCGAAGACTTACCTTGTTCACACTGAGAACCTCTGAAGCCCGGCTTACAACGTTTACAACTTCCTGAATCCATGTGACAGAAATCAATGCAATTCATTGGACATGGTTTTGAACATTCCCAGCCATAGTGTCTTGGTGAAGAACAACCTTAAATGCGATATTCACACACGTATTATATTTATATAAGAGTAGACAATTTTAACCGGTTAACCGATTACTCGGTTGGAAGTATAGCAATCGTTTATAAAAACTGCAATCGGTTAGTATTTGTATAATTGGACACCATTAACTTAAATCTCATTTTAAAATAGAAATCTTAGCACAAAAATTGTTAATTTATTACACATAGAATACTTATAAAAAAATGTCGAGGAAAGTTTATGTATATTTTAATACGATTAACCGGTTAGTCGGTCGAAAGGTCTTTCACACAGCATTGTTAAGGCTTGAAAAAGGGGTCGGGGCCTAATTTATACAGGAAAAGTTTACTGTGACGTCACTCAAAAATATGACTTTTATGTATTTCTCATAATACCTGAAAATGAAATAATAAGCAACTTTTAACTATATTAACAGAATAAAAAACAATAAAACTTATCAATGCATTAAAAAAAGTTGCAAGTTAAATCCCATGTAACTGGTTATAAGCAAAGCACTGATCGCGATGAACTTGTAAACATAACATCATTTTGGTAAAAATGACGTATTTCATGTGATGTGAGAGGCAGATTGAGGAATTTTTTAACAATGAAAATTGCGTTTTATTATTAAACGGAACATTATTTACAGGTTTTAAATAGTTGATAAATACCAATGTATATCCTTTGTTTAGTCCGACTATTTATTAACTAGCAAGAGAATGTATTTTATTAATTATGTCGTGTTTTTATGTACAGGTTACGTATATTTTACATCGAGATGCCTCATAAAATCGTACTTTCGCAAGGGCATACACTGCATAGATCTTAACCATTTTTTGAATATAGATAAAGGATATTTTCCTTAACTTGAAAAGTGCTGCTGCTTTCTTTGAATCGAGGGCGTGATTTTATAAGTACAAAAATAATTTGTTAAAGTCAAACATACATTGCATTTCGACATTGGCCTATTTACTTGAAAATTTAACAATTAAAACGCGAATTCTATTCAAAGCAGCAGCACTTTTCAGAAACTACGAGGTATGTAGAAATAATTAATAGCTTGATTTTTTTTTAATTTCAACTAGGGTATGCCCTTGCGATATTGAAATAT